ATCTCGATGGAGATAATGGCATTTTAAATACCACTATCGACATCGACCCATTGTACAAGAATGCTCTGACAAAGAATATGTCCGACAACATCGCTAGGGAGAACGAAGAGAAGCTCAGCGGTCTGATGCCACATGATACTGATAGCAGTGGTCTGGAAATATCTGTTGAAGATCGGGCAATCGGAACGGTGTCAAGCAAGCTTTACTGGGACTACTTCAGAAGTGGCATTCATTCCTTGTTGATCATTGGAGTTGCGTTTCTGTGTATTATAACCCAAGGTGAGTCCTCATCTTTTATTGCGGTGACTGGGAATAATTAATTTATTTTGCTAGGGGAGGGGGGGGAGGGGTGAGCCTGGAGGATTTCGGTCGTATCACGATAAAATCAACCTGGACCTCCCATAATGCTTTGTAACACTCTTATGATCCTTACCTCTCTCTTATTGGCAGTTAATGAGCAATCAATTATCTATAACTAAAGTGTCTTCTTCATACTCTGTTCCCCCTGAAAATCTTCTGATCGGCCTGAAAATCCTCCGCCCCTCTTCCACTTCTCAGGTCCCCAACTGTTGTGAAAAGTTCTTGGAAATGAGGTATATAGGCAGGCGTAAGTGTTTAATTAATCTGGTACCCAGATCCTGCAGTGTAACTGTTACTGAAATGTGAAAGGTCTGGATTCAATTATTAATGAGATTTGTATAAGCTGTCATAAGTGTTTCAGTTACTCACTGTCTATTTTTCCCATTTTTAGCTTCGATGGTTGCCCCTGACGTATGGCTGTCGTTTTTGACCAGGAAACTTCCCTCAGAACAGAAAGACAAGACGAATCTAACTATCTACGGCTGTTTGGTCGCTGCCTCTTTCATATTGGGCATTGTAAGGTCCTACATTTTATATTTGGTTTGTCTAAGATGCTCCGAGCGTCTTCATGACAAAATGGTTGTTGCTCTTTTACAAGCACCGGTTCTATTCTTCGACTCAAATCCCGTGGGTAGAATCTTGAATCGATTCTCTAAAGATGCGGGCTGCATGGACGAACTATTACCTCTAGAGATTGTATTTACAGTTCAGCTGGTGCTGCTGTTGCTCTCATCTGTTATCGTGCCTTCTGTTACGAATCCTTGGATTGTGTTTGTCACCATTCCAGTGACGGCTATGATTCTTTACTTCACGAGATTTTACTTAAAAAGTTCCAGGGAACTGAAAAGATTGGAGTCGATGTGCCGGAGTCCAGTGTTCTCTCACATATCAGAGACCCTTGAAGGACTGGACACGATTCGAACAAGAGGCAGACAGAGGGACTTCATCGAGAAGTTTGACAGGTAAGTTCGTGCATCATATAAAGTGAGCTTAGAGGATAGAACGCGTTTAATGGTCGCGGTTGGCGTCTTGAATTAATATTGATAGAAAATGCTCTCTCTTCTTCTCTCTTTTTGGAATGAAATGCCTGTATCTTTTAGGAAACTTTCAAAGAAATGTCTTCAAGAGGAAAATAAAACAATCACTTTTTGAGATCCTAGCTTCAGAAGATTGTTAC